AGGGAAAGATACAGTATATTCATGTATATGTATGCATGTAATGTATGTATGTCCACACATACTGTATATAACAGAAGACTGGCTATATGAACCTTTCTGTAACAGACCACCACGGCGGCAGGGCGTTGTCCCAATGTTCCATCATCGGAATTCGCTCCCAAAAATAAAAACCGAACTGAACTCAGATTCCTTCTAACAATATCGGGTTAAAGCACGCACCTGACCTGAGGTCGGACGGATCATATTTCTCTGTTAGTCATGACGAGTTGCTAATGTTACCAGTAACTCTCATCATTTGATCGGCCTCGACATTTGCATCCTGGGAATAAGATTTAAGAGATACAGTTTGGATTAGCCGATAAAAAAAATGTCACGATGATCATCAAAAACCGATTTTTTCTCACCTGGTTGGTCCTATTTACAGGCAGATTTTGTGCAGCTGGAGTGGCTTTGGATAGGTCCCTGAGAGTCCCCTGAAAATTACCATGTCAGGACAAAAACATTACTTATATATGGACCGCCCAAATCCATGATTCACGAGAAATACAGCATGATCAAATAGATGACTCGTAGCAAAGTTTTTACCTTGTTTGCCCACATTAGTCCACAAGCATTGCAAAGCGTTCTTGGTCCTTCAGGACCTCGTCGCATCATGGGAGTAGACTTCTCGTTGATTCCACAGTGCCGGCACCTTAGATGTTCCATAACCATTTCAAGCAAAAGAACCGACAAAACGCTTTAGTCAAAACCCGATAAGCGGAAAAAATCAACCATGCACAAAACTTCTAATGTGGTCAGTCAGTTCCAACATCAATACGACCCTTCAAGAAACAAGACACTTCCACATTTAGGAAAACTTCCATGGTTTCCTACTAGAAGATTTCCTTGGCCATATTAAAAAGAAATCACACATCATATATAGTCTTCGTCTCTTATTCATTAAGGGAACATCTCATAATTCACATTTCTTTTCAATATTTTACAACTTCTAACTTTGCACTTCTTCTCCCTCACCATGTTTATTTACATTTAACAGGGTATTATCTGCATTGGTCCTACGATATTAATGACAGTACCTACTCTTCTTACTGTTAATAACTTTGAAGATCAATAGGCACATATCAGAGCTTCTGTTAGACACATCATGAGTGGTTTTAGGTGTCAAGACGAGAAACGTCTCTATGTTGAATGAAGAGGTTCCGAAAAAAAATTACACGTTTTGGAAGCGGGAGACAACTTTCCCTAGATTTTAAAGTTGGTTCAGATCAATACTACGCTTGGTGAATAAAAATAAAGCATATTTTTTTAACTTACGAAATCTCTTGAGCCTGAGATTCGGTCCCTTCAATGCCCCAGGTGGGGTTTGACTCCCAGTTTGATCCTGCTGATGCAGAATCGTCATTGTTTGATTTGGCAGATGTGAACTGACCTTTATTACGTTGCATCCTGAGGACACAGAAGAAATAGAAAAAACCTAGTTACCAAAAAAGATGGCACATCCCAAAAGATATTCACAAAATTAGGTCTGGATTTCAACAATAAATGTACCTCAAGGCAACTTCTTTACGAACTGTGTACCGGATTTTCTTATCGAAATTCCTCCCCTTTCGTTTCTCTCGGAATCTGACTAAGGAGGCCAACCGTTGGGGGACACTAAACCTTTGAGGAATACCAGAAAAACCCTGATTCATTTAATCAGTCAGCCACGCATAGCAGGAGGAAACTTATCAAACTTTTTTATTTTCAAATACCCTATTGTTCTGAGGAGTTGTCGGCCCTACAGCTGGAGAAACAGCCTGCGGTAATTCACGGCCTCCTAACAGTAGAAGCACAGCTTGGACCTGCAGTTCATTGAAAAGAAAATGAAGGGCCATTCTCGTGCACTTGAATCCATGAAGGCAAAGCGTGAATCACCCAAAGATGTTGAAGAGTATCATATCATATAATAAAAATCAGACCATTAAGGACACTAACACATCACCAACTGAAATCACCTTCTCAGCCGAGACGCTGTCAAAGACATAAACTTGGCCTTGAAAAGACAATGTCAGCTGATCTCCATTTTCACTACCACGGTCAACCACTTCACCACGATTGTCTGAAAAATTTCCAGTGTGAGAAGGAATGTCTGTTTCCACTCCTCCATTCACCCGACCAGTGGTGCCACCATCAGCATGCATCTCAACCATACGGTTTCCATTGTTGATGTGGTGCAAACCATGATGCTCATATTGTACATGCATCGGATCTTGTGCTTCCCCAATGTGCATTTGGGCATCGTCTCCGTGAAGGCCATTCATAGTTCTTTGTTCATCAATTTGCTAAAGGCTGTTTGACAATGTTAAATTCAAACAGCCATTAAAAACCGACTGGAATACCCTAAAAATTGAAACTCAGAGTACCAAAAAACATGACAGAAAGGGTTTGAAACACAGGCAAGATTCCAAGCATGGACACTAAAAACAACTAATAGTTCCAGACGTAGCATGAACCTATTTCACATTCACAAGCAAAGAGAATCAACATATATGGACACATGACTACATTGAAACAACAAGAAAAAAACGAGATCAACTCTAATCAAGACACTAAATCAGCTCACCCGACAAAAATTCTCAAACAAAGACAAAAAAAACCTTCTCAATCATTTGAATCAAAGATTCGCTCTTTGAACATAAACCTCAAGGAAAACATCCAAATGCCGGATTGGTAACTATATCAATCCAAAACAGCTGCACGTTCCCCAGAAAGAGAGCCCTATTTTGCATAAATCCGATCCAACGCAAAATTCTAATCTATTCACGCTTTCCAGCATTATTAACGAACGAATGGACATAAAAGGAACTAATGATAACAAGACAAAAGCACAGCAATTCCCAATCCACCACTAGATTGTCGCCAACTAAAAACCCTAGAACGTAACCAATCCAACACGGTGAGCAATCCCGCGCCACTTTTCACACATTCTCGCGAATAATCTCTCATTCCGACGCGAAAACGCAGAAGTCGGGTTCGTATCTAATCTCGAGAGCAACGTACGAGAGATTGATGGAGAAAGCGAGGACCGATGGAAAACTGAATCAGACGGAGGAAAGTAAGACGAACCCACCGCCGAGGAATGACCACGAATCGCCGGAAAGAACCTCCAGCGCCGGTGTACCGGCGACGACAGAAAGAGTGCAGGGGAGGAGAAGCGTCACCGGGAAGAGGAACGATAGAGAAATAGACTAGGGCCCTCTGTTGTTGGCATATTTATACTCTATAAAATATTTAACATTGGCATATGCTTCTTCTTAATCTTTCACCAAAATATTTAACTCTAGCCTTTATAATTAGGAAAACCCTAAAAAATTATGACAAATGAATATATAAACTTTTATTTACACAACAAAATATAAACATTTTCTTAATATCCCATAAAAAAATGTCAGATCACATCTTTACCACATCATAAAAAATAAATAAAAATAACAAAATATAAATACAAATACATATACACACTCGCATATATGCATACATACACATATGCATATATGTGTATATGTTTGCAAACATATGTATATGTATGTATATATTTATATGTGTGGATATATACATGTATATAGTTATGTGCGTGTATATGTATACGTTACGTGTATAATTATGTATGTCTAGATTACAATTCAGTTATGAGAATATGAATATGCGAATGTGTATTCACCATCATCTTCTACTTATCCTTCTCTCTATCAAACCCTAATCCGATTCTATCAAAATCCATTCATTTTTTTTTTTTTTATAATATGTGATTTGCCAGGGTTCGAACCTAGGTGGAGCCACTCTTTGTGCATATCCACTTACCAGTTGAGCCAACCACTCCTGACAATTCATTTATTTCTTCTTCATTTTCTCCATATTTCCTTCAGATTTTGCTACTTGTATTGTCATTAATCACAAAAATATTGAAATCGAGTGCCTATTGACTTGTGCTGTTTACGATACATAAAATATTCGGTCAATATTGTCTCTCTATAAGGCGCGAAGTATTGTAACGTAGCCAAAAAAACATTGAACATATTTTTATTTTATTATGAGAATAAATCTTATTATTTCAGGATCGATCGATAGCTTTGATGCTTGAAAAAAAAATCTGGTTGTGTGAAATCTTTGTGAGATTCTGAATTCGAACATCAAATTTATAGAGAGGACGTATATTTCGAATCCAAGATCAGTTTGAACATTGGTTAAAGATATTCGATTAGAAAAAAAAAAACATGAATAGTTATGTTTTTAGAAACCGATCATATATAGGAACCAAATATTAAAAAAATCGAAAACCCGATTTTTTTTAAAAAAATAATTATTTTCTCTGAAACGAACAGAGAAATCGAATCGAAACAAGATCGGAACCGAATTGAATCGGACCTAATATAATAATCAAATGACATAATTTTTTATAACCTAATAAACTGAACCAAACAACAAAAATCCAAAATACTCATCCCTAGGAATAAGTATTTGATGCACAGAGTCATTGATAATCTCAACTCTAATTATCACAATACATAAATGTGTAAACACAATTTAATAGTATTTTTTTTTATTAATTTAGCTACATTACAAGTCAGTTATTTCAAAACTTTGACAAAGAAATTGGACCAATAATCTTATCTGCTTTTTTTTCCTTTGTATTTTCGCATTCTTTAATATTATATGTGTGTCTATTTTGGCTACAAACATACATGTATCACCAAATATTTAAAATAAAACTTTGTGTTTTTGAACTATGTAAATTGGTGGTCCGCCAAAGCTAAACTACTGGAGATCCAATACACAGAATAAGTATCCAAGTTACATGGTCCAGATATTCCACGAAATTACAAAAATACTGTAAATATTTGTGAAAATTAAGAAACTCTCGTTGTTGTTGTTGTTTCAAAATATAAAACTATCATTTTCTTTGTCATGAAACTCCATCCCGTTCGGATAGCGTAACTATTACTTATTCGAGTTTGATTTCAAATATAAGTGTGTCCTAAAATCTTCGGAAAAATTGGAAAAAAAAAAATAGGTGCGCTTAAATTAGAATAAAATCTCAATTAATGATTATAAATTTTATTGAAACTTAATTGCCAGTTAACAAAAGATAAAATCAAAGATGAAAAAAATAGAAATTAAGATGTCATTACACACCAGATCCGTAAATGGTTAACAAGTCTGAAGGTCGGTATTTTGAGCAATCAGATAAGTGATTGGAAGATTCTTTTTCTGTTGGATTCTGCAGATGACCCATTCTTCAGATTCATTGGATGAGAGGCGATACTCTCTCATCAACCATTCTGTCTTCGTCTTCTCTTTCCAACCCTTCTCTTTCTTCTCGAACTTGAAATTATGAGCATGTCCGATGATGACACCACCATCTCTGATTTCTTCTTCTCTGGTCGTGGTCTTCCATGTATCAGTCGATTTCTTTCCCTTTGACCATACGGCTATGTTTCTCTCTGCTGACGTCTCTCATCTTTCTTACAAAGTAGTACCATTCCCTCTCTTCAAACGAAGGGTTGGTTACGTGCGGAAGAAGCCAGGGTTCTACTCCGTTCACATCCAACTCCATTATGAAACTGTCGACTCCTCCGTTAACTTTCCATCGAATATGATTGATGAGATCTTTATCGTTTGGTAGAAACTACAACCCGATGATGTCTTTCCCAATATACATCGCCATCGATATGATTGCTCATGGAAGAAGGCGGGCACAACAAGATAGATCTCTACAAAGAAATTCCAAAATAGAACTCAATCTTGGGAAAAAAAAAACCAGACCGAATCAAGGATATTAGACTATTAGTTACCTGAATGCAAGAGACAGATAATGTATTTTGTGGAGGAAAATCGAAGAACAAAGGAACGAGTTCGAGAACGCCAGAGGAAGCAGAAACGAAAGAATGGTCGACGAACTCTTGTTTCTGTGAGTATATTTACACAATCCCAAAAATACAACAAAAAAAAAATCAGACTTCCACGAATGGGTTTTCTTAATTCGTATATAAATTCAAATTTTTGGTTTTATAAACTTGGCAATGAATCTACTATATTTTGAGGTTGGATTAAATGGAAATTTTTGGATAAGCGATACGTAACAAATACAAACCATACAGATGATGGTTGTGAAGAATGTTTTATTAAATAAGAATAAAATTTTAGTGAATTTTTATTTCAATCTTCAACCATTGGGGATATATTTGAAACTTAGCTATCGTACATCGTATGTATGTATTCGGTTTGGATGTATCATGTATCACATTATATGTGAGAGTAATATGTAAATATTATTCTGATGATTTTCGATAACTTTATGAAAATTCACCAGAACTAGATACAATATTACATAATTCACACAAACTTAATAAGATAATATACAACATATATGAAATATACTTGAATTGGAGACTCACTAAGGTATTCATATGGTTAGATTTCAAGAGTATATCTAGGCCAAAGGACACTCGGAGTCCTTCGAAATCAACACATAAATCGGACTAAAACAGAGCACCCGAGAGCACTCGGTTTAGGTGATAGATGGAAGGGAAGATAGGGGTATGAATCGAACGCACCAAGAAGAATTTATTCTAGGGGTATGAATCGAACCGCAACGGTTAGGAGGCTTAATGTGATAACCCAGGATACCGTAGGAGGACGGGGAGTGATCGCCGGTGCGAGAGGCACGGACAAGGAACAACTCCTGACGAGCTTCTGGGTAGGGGTACATGGATGAATGGAACGCACCGGAATGAGAGGGATCCGAGGGCTGTGTAGGTATGGGACTACATAGTCTAAGATAACTTAAAGGAATTAATTGAGCTACTCATAGCAACAAGATGCATCTACCTTTTCAGTTACCCAACTCGAGAGAACTCTAAGGTTAAGCATGCTGGTCTTGGAGTAGTCTTACGTGTTAGAAATCTGGAGGAAATACAACGGAAAAACGAGAATGAAATCGAAACCGAGGGACCGGATATCTCTTCAAGGCGTGTAGACACTTTCCTAAAACTGTTATTCCATCCGTTATGAGCAAGGACTACCGGAATACGATTCTGAGATACAATGAAGAGAAATACGTTCTAGAATTGCTCGATCAAGAACGCACAGACAAGGAAACGTGAAGAAGAAGATGAACGAAAGCTTTCGGAGAGTTTTTGCAAGAAACTTCTGAAAGTGCTCTCAAAATCTCTCAAAAATCGAATTGATCTCATACCCAACTTATTCTGACGTCTTTAGTATATAAACACCAAAGAACATCACCAAAAGTTGCAAAATCTGCAGTTTTCACGCGAAGAATCGCATCATTCGTATTTAATTGTCATGTTCCGAGTTACACTTGACACAACACGAAGTACTTCTCATAGACTTTTGACTCAGATCGAGTTCCACCTAACACGGGCAGTGTCAAATTTCTGTGCAACACGAATTTTTTTCTCAGAAAAGTAACACGGTTCGAGTTACATTTCTGTAAAGAAAACTTCGTTTTCGTCATGAAGACTGAGTTCTACTTGACCCGAATTGAGGTATACCTCACTCACAAATCGAACAACTTTACTGCCAAACACATATGTGTTTCACCGATCCATATTATATCATTTATGAATATTTAACTCATCCACCATATCCGTAATACATATAACTATGAATCTCTTGAGAGATTATTAATAAATCTCATTCATTTACGCAATAAAAGACGTTTAGAGTTCGTCGAAACATATTTAGAATGCATCGAAACATACTGAGTGCATTCAAGCATGTTTAGAGTGCGTTGAAACATGTTTAGAGTGCGATGAAATATATTTAGTGATATGATCCTAGAGGGGTGCATCAAGAAACACAGAAAAATCAATCCTGATCATATTATGTATTTCCAATAATTGTCGGTTTTGGACAGATTGCGCGCTACGGATGAATTTGGTCATAACTTTGCACTCCAATGTCCAAACGACATGATTCCAAGTGGAAATGAATCCTAACTCACCAAAGGTTTGATCTAGAAAATATGAGATCCAACGGAGAAAGTTTCAATTCTGGGGAGAGGACGCAATCCACGGTTCAGTCCTGAGAATACAGATTGAGCAGGTTGTCTTGTTTTATTAATAACTTTTGATTGGAGATTCCGATCGCAGTTTCGTTTGAAACAACATAAACTAGACATCCAGATCTTCACGTGGATATAAAGTACATACTATTTGGTCAAGGT